GTGATCGTGTGTCACTTTTTAAAAATTTTTTATTAAGCCTCAAGATCATTGAAAGGTGGTTTCTTGGAGTTTGAGAGAACAAGATGATTAATACAGGAATCTGAGGATACAGGTCATTGATGAAATAGACTGTTGGCTAAATTCCATTATGTGTTCCAGAGGGGGCAAGGTTTCAACTTATTATTCCTTTATACCTTTTTGTAGGGTTGATACAAGAATCATTTGAGAACATTTTGTAAAGTGCCTAGCATGATGCTTAATATATATGGGTAACATTTGTTTATTCTACTCAGAGGGCCTTGTGAAGAGGTTAGTGCATGATAGGCACTTGGTATATATTTATTAAATAAGGGAATGTTAATTTGCTCTCCCTGTTCTCTCTCTTTTTGCTATGAATCCCTGCTAGTCAGGAAAACAATGGGTTGGAGAGGAAAAGCCTATTCTTTACTGCACATCCTTAATCTAATGCAAGTCTTCTCAATGTAAGCCTTTTTTTTTTCCAGTCAAAATGATGCCTGGAGGTCTAGTTCATTACTTGTTAAAGTAATGAACTGAATGGTGTTCTCCTGGGATTTATTGTGTTCATTTTTTGTAAATATGATCAGTCACACTCATCTTTAGAAAGATGATTAGTAGGGTACCATGAACCTTTAACATTGTTGAGGTATAGGTCCGATAACTTTTCTGAATTTTCAAATTCTTCATTATCACTGTAATTTGTTTCCATGAAAAAAAAAAAGCAGTTAAATATAGTAGCTTATCTGGCTAAGAACTGTCTTTCAAGGCTTCTTATATTGTCTACTTCTACCTGAGGTAGAAAATGACTTGGGGTAGTGCTGTTGTTTTTAAGTTATTTCTGTAGGGAAGAAGGAAAGAACTAGTCCTGAGTTCTTACCTATGTTCATTTTCTAGCTAAGTTATTTCTGGCCAGTTTCAAGTTTGTACTTGAGCCAGATTATAGATTCTACATGATAGGTAGTTTTGGGTCTCTCTCAAATAGCTGAAACCATAGTGTTTAGTCCTCCTATGGAGTAGCATTCTCTCTTTTTTATGTTTGTTTTTTATTTTTTTATTGATTTTAGCAGGAGAGGAAAGGACAGGGAGAGAGAAACATTGATGAGAGAAACAGCCTTCGGCTGCCTCCTGCTGCATACCCCTTCCTGGGGATTGAGCCCAAAACCTAGCCATGTGCCCTGACCAGGAATCAAACCAGTGACCTATTGGGGCATGGGATGATATTCAACCAACTGAGCCGCAACAGCCAGGGCGAGTAGCATTCTCTTTTAAAACATCAGTTAGATCTCATTTTATTTCAGAGTCGATGGAGGGAGGTATGTCGTATAAACACTATAAATGCTAAGTTTATAGAAATAGATATGTGCGTATATATAAATGCATTTGTGTATATATGTGTGTGTGTGTGTGTGTGTGTATATATTTATTTCCCTCTTTTCTCTTTTTTTCAGCACTCTGTTTTCTGCAGTGGACACTGATGAAATACCGGCCAAAAGACCAAGATTAGGTATTGAATATTAATTTTAAAAATTAGTGTTTTAATAGGAAAACTATATGCATGTAACAGAATTCAAAAGGTAAAAAGCATTTGCAGTGAAAAGTAAATCTCTTTCCCATCCCTTTTCTACTCAGTTGTCTTTTCTGGAGGTAACCACTGTTATCAGGGAGTTAATTGTCTTTCTAGTAGATAAGCCTGTAGGTTGAATATACATTTTTTTACAGCTTTTTAAAAATATATTCATTATAAAATTCTAAATCTTCCTATAAAGAAAAGTGGCTTTTTAAATTTGAGGAGAAAACATTGTAAAAACTACTTCAAACTGAGTCATCTTTTTCAGATAGCTGTGTGAACTAATCTAATGTGTTGCCCCAAATTGTTTACTTCTCTATAACCTGAAGGGCTACATATCATTTGATGGAAGAAAATAAAATTAGAGTAAAGGACACTGGCACAATGGGATAATCTAACAACATTTTCTTCTTTCTTAGAAATGCATGTGAATGTGGATCTACTTTTAAATGTGGTAGTTAAGAGTGGACACATCTGTGTTAAGATTTCGTTTAAATCTAATGAGTACTTACTGAGCATGTCTTACTGCTAAGTAGTTTCTTAGGTTCTACAGGAAATATAAAAATGAGTAAGACAGGATCTCTATTTTTAAAAACTTTACACTTGTAAGAATATATATGATTATATAGTAGGGGATGTAAGAGAAGTACATAAATAATACCAGTGTCAATGAGGACATGATAAATGCAATAAGAAGGGTAGTAACAAAATACTGTCCAGTTTTTAGCTGGTTAAGAGTCTCAGTGAATATTTGGTGAAGGAGCTAGTATGTGAGATAGTTCTTGAAGGATGGATAGGATATCAGCAGAGAGCAATAGAAAGGAAAAGCTTTCTGGGTAGAAGGAATAGTATTAGAAAGTTGTGTAGTTCAAAAACTAGTGAATAACTTAGGAAAAAAGTTGATAAGAGAGAAATAGTCAAATTGTGGAGGACTTTGAATGCCAGGACTATCCAAATTCATTAGGATGTATTTCCCAAAGCACAGGATAGATATCAGTTAGGAAATGATTTTAGGAGGTACAATGTTCATAATATTTAATAATTTTAAATTATGTTTTATACAAAAATTGTATTCTTTTCAGTTACTTTAAATTTGATTATTTTAAGCAGAAAAATGTTGATTAAATGCTTAGTTGTGTCTTCACTACTTGTCTAAAACAGTTGACCTTTGAACAACATGGGGGTTATGGGAATCGACCCCCCCACAAATTAATAAATGCATGTATAACTTTTGACTCCCCCAAAATTTAACTAATAGGCTCATGTTGACTGGAAGCCTTACCAATAAATAGTCGATTAACATGTATTTTGTAATATATTTTATATACTGTATTCTTACAATAAAGTAAGCTAGAAAAAAATGTTAAGAAAATCATAAGGAAAATACATTGACATTATTGAAAATATATCTGTATATACGTGGACCTGCACAGTTCAGACCTGTGTTATTCAAGAGTCAACAGTACATGCTAATCTCTCCTTTTTAAATAGGCCCAGTTAGAACTTAATATTGTTGTGTTTTCATTTCTTTATAAGGCAAATAATGTTGCTTTACATTCACAGTAGTAATATAAAACTACCTTTCAGTATCCAAGAAACCCTAAACACTAATTTGAAAGAATATATGCACCCCCGTGTTCATTACAGCATTATTCACAGTAGCCAAGATATGGAAGCAACCCATGTGCACATCAATAGTCAAGTTGATAACAAAGCTGTGAGCCCTGGTTGGTGTGGTTCAGTTGGTTGAGCTTCACCCCATGTACCAAAAGGTTGCTGGTTCGATTCCCAGTCAAGGCACATACAAAGGTTTGATCCCAAGTTGGGGTGTATGCGGGAGGCAACTGATCCATGGTGCTCTCTCACATCACTGTTTCTCTGTCTCCTTCTCTCTCTCTAAAAAAACAAACAAACATTTTTTAAACAAACAAACAAAAAAGCTGTGGTATATATACACAGTGGACTACTACTCAGCCATAAAAAAGAATGAAATTTTACCATTTGTGACAGCATGGATGGAGCTGGAGAGTATTTTGCTAAGTGAAATGAGACAGAGAAAGACAAATACCAATATGATTTCACTTACATGAATAAAACAAACAAACAAACAAAATAGAAACAGACTAATAGAGCAAACTGATGTTTGGCGGGGAGGGAGGTTGGGGGACTGGGTGAAAAAGGGGAAGAGTTTAAAAAATACAAATTGGGGGTTACAGAATAGTCACAGAGATATAAATCACAGCATAGGGAATATGTATCATAATAACTATGTATGGGATCAGGTGGGTACTCGAAATATTGGGGAACTGCTCTGTAAAATACATGATTTTATAACCACTGTGCTGAACATCTGAAACTAATACAGAGTAATATTGAATGTAAACTGTAATTGAAAATTTTAAAAAATTACCTTTCAAATACATTTGTTTAGCAAAAGAAAGCCAGTTTTAAAGAAAAATATAAATAACTATGTGGTAAACAAATAATAACATAGACCGTGAAATTACAGAAATTTCCTGAAATAATTCTGGCAGTCATCCATTTTATGGACTTCTATGTTAAGGATCTCTTCCTCCGTGATTTCCATGAAATATGTATTATGATTTTCTGAATATAAACTAAAGAAGGAAACCTAAGCCAAGGGGGAAGCAGTGAGTAGCACAGGTAATACTTACTGGCAGAGTTTGTAAAGGTTTATAGCAATGCTGTCCAATAGAACTGCCTGCTATGATGGCTCTTGAGCACTTGAAATGGGGTTAGTGGGACTGAGGAACTGAATTTACTTTTAATAAATTGAAACTTAGGTAAGTTAACATGTAGCTACTGGCTACTATATTGGGCAGTACAGTTCTATTGGTTGCTTTTCAAAGAAAAAGGAAGGGTAAAAGAAAAGGAGGACCTTAGAATTGTAGACTCATGATTTATAGAAGGAAAGGATTTTAAGAACTCTTCTTAGTTTAGTCTCAGGAAAATAAGGTGGTCTTGTCCCCATTTTACAGATGAGACAGGCCTGTTTTTTTGTTGTTTTTTTTTTAAGTCAATGAGATCTTTTGACAATCTTGGGCATACTCATATTTTGACATTTGTAGGAAAACAAATATTACATGACTTTTTAGTGTCCACTTATCTATGTTGTTAAGAGTACCTCTTGTCCTCTAGTTTTGGATGACTGTCTGTAGGTTAAGCATCAATCCCCAAAGCCATTTTTCTCCCACATAAAGCTCACATTATTAGAAGGATGACCTGGAATTCTTTCTTTCTAATTCCTAAAATGAGAAAAAGGATATTTGCAAACTTTGGTTCTTTTAACTGTTCTCTAGTTACAGATTATTTATTTCAGATTGGATTCTCCTTTACCCAGCTATCACTTCCTGCTATTTAAGTTATTTCCCTATCTTTCTGGAAAGTATTTTATATCTTATATATTCTGGAGTGCTTGTTGCTTAAAAGCCACCATTTCAGTTTTTCTCTAAAAAAGAATGTGGCTAAGGTGATGACCTGCTTCTTTCAGACTAGTTCTTTAGGATACCCTTAATTAAGAAATAGAAAGGAAATTTTAGAAAGTAAATCATAATGTAGGAAGTAAGAAAAGGGTAGTGATAAAAAGAGGAAGTTGAGAAAACAAATTTACCCCTCCCCTTTGTTTGTTTACTTACTTATTTTGTAATCTTTCTGTTTGGTGACAGGGAGGGCTGAGTCTGAGACCTCCCAACACATCTCTAGTAGAGGGATAGCCTTGTTTTTTCATAGATGTTTAAGAATTGCATATCTGATACTTCACTAATTTCTACCCTGGGAGTAGCCAAGATGCAATAGGCACTTAGTAAGTAGTTGTTTAGGACAACTGTATTGTTACCTGCCCAGTAAGTAAGGACAAACCCTTGAGTAAATGATAAGTGTTTCCTGTAGGATTCTGCCATACCTTGTGACTATAGCTCCAGGTTGTTAAGTTATGCCCCTGTCTTTTTGGCATAGATTTCTTTTTATTTTATATATTCAGGAGAACAGATTGCTTGAAAGCTGTCATTTCAGGACTTTTTTGTGCATGAGTCTGTGTGATTTGCTAAAGTGATGGTTTCATGCTTTTGTAGCAACCCAGATATTTTACTAAAAAAACAAAAATCACAGTGCTGGAATTTCAGTTATTCAGGTAGGAGAAAAATTCTTTTTACAGATACCATTTTATCTCAATGATTGAAAATAGGACTTCTAATAAAAATTGAGAGGCCATTTTAAAGATACAATCTTACTTGTTTTCCCAGAAGTTTATTCCTCTATGTTTATATGTATATGTAATCCATATTACACTTTCTAGATTGCTTTATTCACCAAGTGAAAACCAGTCTCTACAATGCTGCCAGCTTGTTTGGATTCCCATTCCAGCTGACCACGAAGCCCATGGTAGCTTCTGCTTGTAACGGAACACGGAATGCAGCCCCTTCAGGAGAGGTCAGTGGGGATAGGGCTCCATTGGGGCTACTGATTTCTGTATTTAATCATTGAAATAAATTTTGGAAATATTCTCATTTTTAGGAATTAATGTGTAGAATGACTTCTATCCAGAAATGTGCATGTCTTTATTAGCCTTGATATAAAGGCCAAAAATTTAGAAGTTAAGAAATTACACTTTTAAGAAATTACATGTTTTAAAAATATTGATAAAGAGCCTAATTACTGAATGATAATTATGTTTGAAAATCTTGAAATTGGTGGGTTTTTTTTACATCATTTCGTGAGTCTTCACAGATTATACCTTTGGTTTTATTGATAATATCTCTTCTGTGAGCTAGCACCAATAGAGTGTTTTTTTTTTTCTTCATATTAAAAACTTACTTAAATTCTAAAATTATATACTACAGAGGTCATTTTATTTGATTTTAAGGTATTTTCGAACTCTTCATCTTGTGAACTGACAGGTTCTGGATCCTGGAACAACATGCTGAAACTGGGTGAGGTGGACAAAAATATTTCTGCTTCCCCCTACCTCCTCCTGCCTGTTTTTTCTGAGTTTTGAGAAGATGAAAGGAGAACACTGATTTGGGTTGGGATGAGAACACAGACATTCTCTTTATCATTCTAAGAAGCAAATAGCTTTCCTTTAGAATTGTCTTGAAATTTACTGTTGTGTTTCTGTTTGTATTATCACTGTCCTTAATGTGACTTAGATCAAGTTTCATTCATTTAAAAAACCACACATAGAAACATTTCCTGAGAGTTTACTCTGTGCTAGACCCTGCTAAGTTACCAGGATTAATAAAACCTTTAATAACAAAACAAATAGCAATAATAACAAAAATAGTAAAACTCTCCCTTAGGTTGCCAGTTCTCATAGTTTTATGGATTAGGAGCCTCTATGTCATCCAGACCCTGAAATTGAACTGTAATTATTGAATATACTGTACACAATGCTATGGTGGGGAAAAGAAGAAGTCAGAGTCCTGAAAATGGTGCAATCTCTGTCAGGCAGGTGGGTTTGTAAATATTTGATAGGAAGGGGAAAAGAGCTTTTAGAGAAGTTGTGGGTTCAGAAGTCAAAAATGGAAGAAGCTAAGGAAATAATAAAAACCTTGGAGTAGTGCTTCTCAAACGAACTTTTTTAAGTAAAGTACCTCTAGTGACACAGAAAAGGAAAGTAAATGTGTACCCCCAAGCCTGAGAAGCTAGTTCCAAGGGACCTGGGACAAAGATGATACTTCTTTGAAGTCTTATATTTTATTTAAAAAGTTAATACAAATTAGATTTCATAATCTATATTGTTTGAATATATAAATGTTTAAAATTATTTACCATTAAAATTGACATGGAAGGGATTGTAGATTTATCTTGTGCCTGAGGCACCAGCAGTATATTTTCTTGGGCTTGTGTAGCCTACTCAGAGATGCACAGGTATTCCTAGGGCAGGCTTCTGATATAAACAAGTCCACAGTCTAATCTGAAACCCTTAGAAATGTGTTGGGAGATTCTGAATTTATCCTATTTTAGATATATTGTGTTCATTGAATATTGTTTTAAAAACCCATTGAGATTAGACATTGGTTCAAATCAGTTTTTGCAGACAAATGAATTCAGGTCATTTTAGGTCTTACTGCTACGGTTGCATTTTGGATTCCTCAGTCACTCTAAGCCCCTGTAATAGCTCCAGCAGAAAATGTGGCTGATAAAAACATGGAATATACCATGTTTTGCAGTATAGTAAGCATCTCACAAGAAATGTTAGACTCTTCCAGTGAAATGTACTAACATATGGCAGATTTTCATTATTTTAAGAAATAATTTAGAAAATGCTCTTAATTTGGTTAGATTATAGGGAATTTTGTGATCATTTTCTTCATGCCTCTTATTGGTCCCAGCAAGCAAAACTAGGAAATCTCGCCTAGAATTGTTATTGCTTATCTGAGATCAAAGATAAGCTAAACACTATTGCTTTTCCTTTAATTTTACAAAGTTTGTGCTGGATTTCTGTGCTGTATAGTAATAGAATTGGAAAAAATAACATGTAGTTCTTATAGTGTAGACTGATCACACAGTCTCTTTTCTAATGCAGGCTGTTTACAGGTGTTTTGTTTTATTTATTTTTTTACAATTACAAATGCATTTTTAAAATAGGTAATAAATCTCCTAATGGAATAAGTGACTATCCAAAGATCAGAGTGACAGTAACTCGAGATCAGCCTCGCAGAGTCCTGCCTTCCTTCAGGTAAGTGTTAAATTCTGCCTTTCTTTGAATGGTTAGTGCTTATTAGGTGATCACTCTTACTAGGCACTTCACTTTTATTCTGTTATGTAATCTTGTTAAGTAAGTACTCTGAGGGTTAGGGGCTTACTGAATATCATACAGCTATAGTGAGAAACTTGAACTCAGGTGTGTGTTACCTTTTCTGCCATATTATAGGCCCATAGCATCTGATTTTGAAAACTTTTTGAAGAAGAGTTGTCATTCACTTCTAACTTTTTAAAAGTATAATATGTGTGCAGAAAATGCAGAAATCATGTGTCTAGCCTGATGAATTTTCATACACAGAACTGTTTTTGTTATTTTATTAGGAATTTTCTTCTCTTTGTGTTCTCACTTTCTAGAATTTCTACTGCTTGGATATTAGGCCCTCCCCCCTTTTTTTTCTATTAGATCTTTCGGATTGATCTAATTTTCCTATATATTCTTTTTGTTGTCCTTGCCCTTTAAAAAAATGTTTTACTAATTTTGGGGGGGTGGGGGGCTTCATAGTTTTTAACTTGTAAGTATCCTCCCTCTCCCTACTCCCCATGGTTTTTCTTTCTCCAAGCATCTTGTTATTGTAAGGATGTAGTATCTTATTTCACTAAAGCTGTTAATTATTTTAAAATTTCTTCTCCCTGCTTTGTCTGCTTCCTCTGAATTCCGTGCTTCCTTTGGTTTATTTTTGGTCTTGTGTTGCATATTAGAGTCTTTATTCAAGTGCCTGGTAATTCTTGGCTATCCACTCATATTTAAGAATGAGACACTAGCTAAAAACTAGGTTCTCTCCAGTTGGATGATTGGTTGCTTGTAGAGCTAGGAAAGAAAGTACAAAATGGGTTTGTAATGCCTTGTGCCAGAAATTAAAGGAGTGCTCAGAAACTGGGGACATGTCAACATAACATAGGAGGAAACTTGAAGGGACTTTCACTGGCCAAATTGGGGACAATTTAAGAATCAAAATGAAGAAAGACTGGGATACAGGTGCAAATAAATATATATTGTTGGAGGGAAAGATCTTTATAGTAGGATGCCATCTAGTAAGTGTAGAGGGAATGATAGAATTAGAAAATCACTTTGTAACTATCACAGTAATAATTGATACATACAGGAATCAATTGAGCTGAAACTAGTAAGTAAAAGTTTGATGAGGTACGGATACTTACATAAACTCAGAATATCTCCCCACAAATTACTTATTAATTGCAAAGGGAAAAATAGTAACTTTAGGAAAAATAGTAAAATAGAAAACCTCTTGACCCCACTTTAACCAAAGGATCAAAGTTAAAGCCACCCACAGTGAGACAAATGGACATCGTGGCTTCCAGATATATTACACTGAGGACATCATCAGTTAATTCGTATTCCTGCAAAATCAATCTATGTCTAAGAATGAGAAAACTGGTTAAGGCCTGTACTCTTCATTATAAAGATGAAGGAAGGCTGAAAAACTGTTCACTTCAAGGGAGACTCAAGATACATGACAGTTAAATGTAATGTGAGCTCCTGCATTGGAATCGAGATAGGAAAAAAATTGCTGTGAAGGATACTTTCAATATCTTTGGAGAAATTTAAATGTGGGCTATGTGTTACATATTATGTCATTGCTAAAGTTCCTGAATTTGGTGATTGTATTGAGGTTATGTTCTTGGGAGATACATACTTGAATATTTAGAGGTGAACTTATGTTCTATAATTGTCTCTGTAAGCATTGCTTTAGTTGCATCCCACACATTTTGAAAAGTTGGTTTTAATTTTTATTCAATTTAAAAATATTTTCTAATTTCTGTTTTACTTCCTCTTTAACCAGTGATTATTCTGAAGTATAGAATTCTGTTGTTTAATATCCAAATATTTGGGGCTTTCCAGACATCTTTAAGTTATTTAGTTTAACTCCATTGTTAGTCAGAGAATATACTTAGTATGGTTTCAGTTCTTTTAAATTTTTTTTAAAAAAAATATATCTTTATTGACTTCAGAGAGGGGAAAGGAGAGGGAGAGAGAGAGATAGAAACATCAATGATGAGAGAGTCATTGATCAAGCCCACAACCTGGGTATGTGCCCTGACCGGGAATCGAACCCCAATTGCCTGGATCCCAGGTCAATGCTCAACCGCTGAGCCACGCCCGACGGGGCAGTTCTTTTAAATTTTAACATTTGTTTTATAGCCTAGAAGATGATCTACATGGGTGATGTCCACTGTGCACTTGAAAAGAATGTGTATTTTGCTATTGTTGGGTGGAGTGTTCTATAAATGTCAGCTCAAGTTTGCTGATGTTTTACAGGTCTTACTGGTTTCTGTATACTTTTTTATTGATTGATGAGCAAGGAGTGTTGATGTTTCCTACTGTAATTGTAGACTTGTTTATTTCTTCATCCAGTTATGTCCATCTTTGCTTCATGTATTTTATCTTCATTTGACCCAGATTCACCAGTTGTTAACATTTTGCCAATTTCTTTATCTTTTTCTGTTTTTTATTTATTTATTTATTTATTTATTTATTTATTTATTTATTTATTTATTTATTTATTTTCCCCTGAACCATTTGAGAGTCTTAGACTCATGCCTTTTTAATCATAGGTACTTGAGTGTTTGTGTTTATTTCTTAAGAATGAAGGCATTTACTTATATAATCATAGATTACAAAAATCAGAAAATTTAATATAGCTATTATATATCCTTATTTAAATTTATCCATAATAGTGATTATTTTTTCTGGTCCACAATTCAGTATACAGAATCATTTATTACATTTAATTTTCATTTCTCATTGCTCTCCTTTAATCTGGAACAATTCCTCAGACTTTCTTTGTCTTTAATAGCATGGATATATATATATATTTTTTTTAAACATATTTTTATTGATTTGAGAGAGGAAGGGAGAGGGAGAGCGATAGAAACATCAGTGATGAGAGAGTCATTGATCGGCTGCCTCCTGCATGCCCCCAACTGGGGGTCGAGCCCGCAACCCAGGCATGTGCCCTTACTGGGAATTGAACCATGTTCTCCTGGATTCTAGGTCGATGCGCAACTGTTGAGCCACACCGGCTGGGCTAGCATGGATATTTTTAAAGAGTACAGGGTGGGGCAAAAGTAGGTTTACAGTCGTTCATATATGAAAAATAATACAGTAATTAATAAATAATAATAAACTTTGTGTTTCGCGTACCCGCGACAGTAAACCTAACTTTTGCTCCACCCTGTAGAAAACATTTCTTTTGTAGAATGTTCTTTAATTTTGTCTGACATTTATTCATGATTTGTTTTAGATTATGCAACTTTCTTTGGTAAAAATATTATATACATGATGTATCCTTTTTAAAACATTACATCAAGAAGGTATGATGTCAGTTTGTCTCATTATTGGTGATGGCAGGAGAGGCAGGCTGTTCCACCAGCAGCAGTGACTAGGAGCTTCATGGCCTTCATTTCTTTAGAACTTATTAATTTACGTTCATTAATTTAGCATTCAGCAGATATTGAGCGCTTTTCAGTTTAGGTTATGTTCTAGGATATAGTGATAAATGAATGTAATCTCTGCTTTCCTGGAATTTAAAGTCCAGTGTAGGATATAGACATTAAACAATTCACACTGATAATTAATCCCAGTGATACCAAGTGAGTGAAGGAAAAGTGCATACAAGAGGAGGGTATGTGTAGTAGGGGAGCTAATTCCAGAGTTCAGGTTGGAAAATTGGGCTTGAGGAAGAAGGCAGAGGCTTTCTTGTGGCAGCTCTGGTCACGCTCCATAGTGGAATTATGGGCGCCCTCCCTCTATTCTAGAGAGAGGGCTAACTTTCGTGAATGCTAGTTGTCTGATTTGCCAGGAGAAAGCTTAATCTGGGAAGCCTAATCACAGAGTGGTCTGAAGCTTAGTAGATTCCAGCAATTTAAGCAGTTTGGTGATACATCAATTTTTTCTGTCTCTCAGTTTTACTTTGAACTCAGAAGGCTATAATAGAAGACCAGGTGGCCGCCGTCATAGCAAAAGCAATCCAGAGAGTTCCTTAACGTGGAAACCTCAGGATCAGGTTGTAACAGAGATGATTACTGAAGAGGGTGGCAAGGGTCTGAGGCGTCCCCATTGTACTGTGGAGGAGGTAAGCCCTTCTAGTCTGATCTCTTTTGAACTGTTTATGAATTTGGTTGGGGGGGATACGTAATATATGTACTATAGTATAAAATTCAAATTTATAAAAGGGTGTACAGTGACTGTAAACTTCCCAGCCTCACTTCCATACTTGGCCCTACCACCCTGTTTGACTCTTGATACTTCTTTGCATCCTTCTAGAGATATTCTATGCATATGTAATTTAGTCAATTTCCAGATTGTTTTCACTATAAGAAAGAAAAAGGAGTCATGTTAGGAAAAGATAATGGATTCTTTTTGGGTGCCTGAATTGTTCTAACTGGTTTCTTTTAGAAGCTGTAATAACTATGACTAAGTAACAAAAGTTAAATGGTGTACATGTCTGCTCTTTCCTTCCCTTTTCAGGGCACTTAGCATGATATTTTCATCAACAAGCTTCTCTTCACTTCCCCTCTTGGAGTCTTCACTTATTCTAGGGGCAGTTAGAATTATTCCTGTGTCTGGCATCCCTGAGCACCATCACCTATTGCTACATGATTTTCTGAGCCACTTAGTTTGCTCATCATAGAAATACTTGTTTGGGTGCATAGTTTTACTGAACAAGCAGGTAGGCTGAGAGAAGAATGGACTGCAGCCCTGGAGGGGGTTTTAAGGAGAGGTACTATAAAGTAGGCTTCAATACCTGTTACAGGAGAAATCAAATATGACACTGAGCACATACAGGGTATACAGACGATATATTCTAGAAATATTAAAAGGTAATATTAGCGAGGACATATTCATTGGTTAAGTGTGATATAAAGTTAGTGGAAAGAGCCTGAGTTCCAGATTTCAGTCTTGGATAAATAGGTGCCACTGACCAAGATACCCTGGATGTTTAGGGGAAAGTTAATGACTTCAGTTTTGGACATTTTTTTAAAGTGCCTGTGAAACATGCAAAGTGACCTGGCTCGTAGAGTTTTGAGAAGAAGGCAGGATTAGAGACATTTCTGGATCTTCTGCATATTGGTATTATGTAAATCAGGGGAGCTGAGACATTCAGGGAGAGAATGTAGTGTGAGAAGAGATAATGGGCAGGACCACTAGCATTTTGGGCAGGCAGAAGAAGAAATAATCTGCACTGGAGACTGAGAAGATACGAAGAAATCAGGAGAGTGTATTGTCCAGGAAGGCAAGGCGAGGTCATCAGGGTGAGATGCTAAAGAAAGAGGTCAAGTAATAAAAGGCTGAAAAAGTATCTGTTGGATCTGGCCATACAATGTCATTGGTGACTTTGGTGAGACCAGTTCCATTTGGAAGCAGCATGTTCTGAATATGCAAGTGGGTTATTTCTGCTGAGTTGTTTTGTGGTTAACCTAGTTCTGTCGGAAACTCAGATGCTCTCAAGGTCTAGGAGATAATGTAAATGAGTGAAGTGGGCTGGAGTGAATGCCAATCTAATGAGAATAGCCCTACCTAGCTCCAGATTGTTGATTTGGTTTTTCAAAAGAGGCCAGATTTTTGCATTTTTCTTTTCAATTTATAAAGTTGGTAATTAATTTAAAGAAATTTTAACTCTGACTGAGTAGCTCAGGTGGTTGTAGGGTCATGCTGTTAACGACAAGGTTGTGGGTTTGATCCCTGGCCAGGGCATGTACAAGAATCAGCCAATGAATTTATAAATAAGTGGAGCAACAAATCGATGTTTCTCTCTCTTTCTCTCAAAATCAATTTTTAAAAAATTTAAAAAGCATTGTGCTGACCAAACACATCTATGACCTATTAAGTCTTTGCTTATGATTTAATTATATATTTAGTGTGCTAGAAATTATCAAATGCTTTCTTTTACTTAGGGTGTTCAAAAAGAGGAAAGAGAGAAGTACCGAAGGTTACTGGAGAGACTCAAAGAAGGTGTTCATGGAAACTCTGTTCCTCCTGTAGCTTCAACTCATCACAGGTAAATATGAGCTAACAAGATCCAGTGCTTTGCCAGACATCTTTTTCCTTATTTTTGGAAAGGGAATTGGTAGGAACGATTTTATGGAAAAAAGATTAACATTGAAACAGCTAGCCCTGTAATATGCCTGAACAAATTATATCTAGTAATGGATTATATAGAATAGTGCTTTTACAAAATACAGTTTTCTGTTAGCTTTAGAATCCCTTGTTTAGTTGTACTCTTACTTGAAACTCTGATATAGAAAAGTGGAATCACTGGTTGAAATCACGAAGCAGAGAGTTTTTTCAACCTCCCCAGCATGCACATTTCCCACAATCTCTGTCTCTCTCTGCTGCTTTCTCCCTCTTCTCCTCTCCTGCCTGTCCCTCCCTCCCTGTCTCCTTTCCTCCCTCTCCCTTTGTACACATAGTTCCTGAGGCATCTTAGTGGATGCATCTTAGCACAATTGGGAACCTTCCACTTTAGAGACAAGATTAAAGTCACCCAGATCATAAGAAGTTTTTCTTTTAAGATTCCTTGTTAATTACATGCTCTAATGATTTGAGCAAATAGATGAGAATGGCAGAAGGAGTTGTCTGACCTTATATTCACATGTAAAAAGGGGACAAAAAATATGTGAGCTCAGGATTGAGGTACATTTGGTGATTTTAACAAGTGAGACAGAAATTATGTAACAGCAAGTTGAAGGTGAAATTGTCACAAGACTAGCTTGTTGAGTACAGAAATAACAAAGGAATATTTGGGAATTTAAATTTTGGTTGTGAACTTTTAAAATTTTAATTCTCTTAGTGCAGTCAGTGAGAATGTTAATATTTTTTCCATTTTGACTAGTGGCTGTTGAAAGCAGAGCTGTATGCTTCATGAACTGTTGGTTTTGTCATGTTAGCAAAATCCTCAACCTGTTTAGCTTTTTACATTTCAGCTTTCAGTGTGTTGTTTTAGGATCCATTTCAGTGTATTGTGTAAAATTTTCCATCTTTTGACCTGAGTTTTATGACATGAGATTTTTCAGTCAAGGTGGTGCTGGGGATTGAGAACATGCAATTTTACAAATAGAACAACTGGAGGTTAGTAACTTGGCTGAAATATTAAAATCAGGATTAGACTCCTTTTATCCTAGTCCCAGGTAGTGCTGTGTTGCATCCTCTCTCTTGTAAATTCAGGGTAATCAGTAGCTCCTCTATGGAGAAGCTTGTCAGACAGAGATAATGAGTATTTATGATAGATTTTCCTTTTGTATCTGAATGTCTTCGCTTTTTGTGTTTCTAAGTTCTCAAAGATGTCACGTGGATACATTAAAGACCAAAGGCTGGGGGGAAGAGCAAAGTCATGGAGTCAGAACAACTCAGTTTGTTCCAAAACAATGTGAGTTCCCAGATTTAGCCTATTCTTGATATACTGAAATTAGTCCATGTGCATATAAAATTGAATGACATACTTGTGAAAGATGGTGTACCAAACCTTAAAACTTTATCAGACTCCAGGGCATTGACTGGTTTATCCAGTACCAGTAGTTTAGTAAAAAAGTTATTTCAAGATGAAGCAGATTTATAAAATACCTTTTGATTGTAATTCCTTGCTTCTGTGTATATAGTAGTACGTATTTTGTGAGCCTAAAATTAATTTCTTTATATTTCTTATATTAATTTCCTTGACACTAAATGATAGCTTACCAAATGAGCAGACATCAGTCAGTTTACACTAAAGATATTTAAAGAAGAAAGCGATTTATGCATTTTTAAGCAACTTGATTTGTAACGAGGCTAGTGTCTTTGGAATTTATTCTAACATTTCATTGTAAGTCAATGTCTTGATACTTTGGAGACTGTGTAAGTTGAAATTCCAGCTATATACTGATTAGTAAAGAAGACACTTTATTTTTTCTTTTCCATCCTCACAGATAGAGCTGCTGAAACAAGGGGACCTCTATGCCCAGTGAGGAGTGAAAAGAGGTATATGGTTCAGTTCATTCTAAGTTTTCTTTTGACATTATTTTCTTTATAAGCTATATTTATGAGTAAACATGTCTAAAGAATTGTGGACTCTCCTCAACTCTGGTAGCTGATCAGCATATATGGGTACATAGGTAGCTTTTGTGTCAGATGCCCACCCTAACTTGGGAGGGTGGCTTTTTCTCCTAGGCATTAGCGGTTGGGAGATGCAGATGCCATTTAGAAAAGAGTGTGGGTGTGGTGGGCATCTCTAGTACATGAACTGAAGGCAATTCTGTGTGCCTTAGGATTTGGGGTGATAGTTCATTTACAGCATAGTCTGGTAAAGTATGGCCCCTGGGCCAAATCTGGTCCACCTGCCTCTTTTTCGTAAGTAGTTTTATTGGAACACAGTCATGTTCATTCATTTGCATACTGTTTATGGCTGCTTTTAAACTAATGGAAGTTGAGAAGATGTACCAACCCATAAGACCTGCAAAACCTAAAATATTTACCATCTGATCCTTTTTGGAAAAGTTTTGTTGACCCTTGTTTTAGAGGACTATATTAAACTCAAGGCAATTTTCATTGCAAATTATTCTGTCTTATTTCTAAAACTAGTCTAACAGGTGCCAGGTTTAAATCATCCAGTCAGTCTGTAATCTCTATATTTTTTTTCCTCAGATGTTCAAAGGGGAAAATTTTGGATATAGAGAAGACAGTTGGAATCAGACTTGAAAATGAAGGTGTAAGTAGAAACCCTAGTTAAATTTTATATCTTTTTATTCTTTCACCTGACTTACTATTAATATTTTGGTGCCCATGAAAAATAAGAAAGATGACCTATGTTAATTTGATTTCTAATTTTGTTTTCTTTGAAAAATCAGCAGAATTGAAGATATACAACTTCTAGGAAGGTAGCTTCCTTGAGTTGCTAGATTTTTATCTGTGTGATAGCCACCTTTGTGAGAAAGACCAATTTGCCTCCATCTGAGCCCCGGCTTCTTTTAGAGAATTTTTAAAACCATACATCTCTAGGAGAGATATATGCTCAGGACTTTATTTTCAGAGTCAAGATTTTAGATTTACTTGAAAATAGTACCAATCGTATGCTTAGTTAGACTTTTCCTATATAAGTATCAGAATAAGAAGTGTTCCAGTGACCTCCATTGCAATACCAACATTTTTAATAATAATGGCAAACACTCCATATCCAAAAGAAACACATTAAATTAAATGTAAACTTGAAATTTGAGATTATTTCACGTTTTAGATACATACAAATACCAAAGTGTAGGGGACTGCTTTGTGTTAAGTACAGTATCAGTTTGATCAAATTTCTCTTCTCTCATTAGATCTCTTCATAAGAATTAGTCTTAAGGCTAAGTCATAGTCTTAAGCCATGATCTTAAGTCCTAAGTCTTAGAACATTACCTTCTCTAATTTCCCCATTTTCAGTAATTCAGAGTGAAACCCTTTGTGTTTAAGTATCATTTACCACCATGGAACAAAAGCTGAAAGAAGGGAAGTATTAAGCCTGGGAGAGGATGGATGGGGTGGTGGGGGTGGTAATAATTTGAAGACTGCATTCTCCTTCTGTCCCTGCTATACCTGAAGGCTTTGCTGCCTGCGGCTGCGGGAAGGGCCAGCAGCCACTGGTTTCCTAGGACTGGTATACCTGGCAGTTAGCTAGAGTGAAGAGGACTGGCTAGGTGTGTTGAGAGTGTGGTTCTAGTCCAAAGCTCTATTTCTAAATAAATTCACTAATTTTAAAATAGTTTGAATACAGATTAAATTCAGTATTAAATGTACATAGTGTCATGATAAGGAAACATCTCACCAGAGTTTCTGGGATGCTGGCAGAATTCTACTTGTTGACAGGAATCGTGGTTACATGGGTGTTAATTTTGTAAAAATTAAGTGATACATTAATCTTTTGTGCATTTTTGTATAATTTATAATTACTTTTTAAAAAAAGATGAAATAGAACAAGTTTGCATAATATAAGGATAGTGGTGGTTTATTCTGAGTGATGGGATTATGGGTTGTATATTTTGCTGATTTAATACTTTATTTATTTATTTATTTATTTATTTATTTATTTTTTAATTTATTTTTTAATATGTCTTTATTGATTTCAGAGAGAGGAAGGGAGAGAGAGAGAGAGATAGAAACATCAATGATGAGAGAGTCATTGATCGGCCGCCTCCTGCAGGCCCCTGACTGGGGATCGAGCCCACAACCTGGGCATGTGCCCTGACCAGGAATCGAACCACAATCTCCTGAATCCTAGGTCTATGCTCAACTGCTGAGCCACGCCCGGCCGGGCTAATACTTTTTTTTTTATATACATATATATATGTATACATATATATATATGTATTTTTTAAAATATATCTTTATTGATTTCAGAGAGAGGAAGAGAGAGGGGGAGAGAGAGATAGGAACATCAATGATGAGAGAGTCATTGATCAGCTGCAGCCTATAACCCGGATATGTGCCCTGACCGGGAATTGAACCCTGATCTCCTGGATCCTAGGTTAACGCTCAACTCCTGAGCCATGCCTGGCTGGGCTATATATATTTAATTATTTTTAATTCAGATAAGAGAACTGAAAATACTTTTCTTGTTTGCCTTCAGGGAAAATAATGAGTGCTGTGTTTCATGGTTTTGTAATCGAGGTGTCCTGTGAGCCTTACATCTTCCACTTTTTGTCCCCACTTGCAGGAACATAAGCTAAATCTACTCATTTGAGGATTTGCTAATTCTCTGTTCTTTCGAGGAAATGTCACTGTTTTATATTTCATGTGTTATGTATGTTTATATGTACAAGTATTAAACAAGTCAATAGAATATAGAAACTTTTTTACTTTTTTGATCAGAGAAGAGGACACCAACTGGAACCTGACCTGTCTGAAGAAGTGTCAGCCCGACTCTGCCTGGGCAGTGGAAGCAATGGCTTATTCAGGAGGAAAGTGTCAATACTTGAGACAAAAGAAAAAAATTGCTCAGGCAAAGAGCGGGAGAAAAGAATGGATGATCTTCTTGAACTTACAGAGGTATTGTTTCTTGTGTTGATCAGAATAAGGGACATGGTTTTGGATAACCTGATTTATTTAAGACTTGAGTAACTATTTTGAAGAGTTTCTCCAGGCTAGGGATAAATGTATGAGGAAATCAGGTGTAAGGGCTATTCTATCACTGGCTACATGGATGGTTAGTGACCTGTGGGAGTGGCCTAAGGGATCAGATTAATGTTTAACAAATGTGGGTCGACATAACTGTCACATGTCTTGGAATATAACGGATTCTTTGTAGAGTCTTTCTCTAACCTTCAAATATTTTGGGTTACATAGAATGGGTTTAGCATGAGGAATGAGTTCATTGCAGTTTTAAGTGATTATGGTTTACTAAAATTGTCCTTTTGTTGATTATTGCATTTGAAAATAGTAAAAACTTATAGACAAGGAAATGAAGGTAGTTAAAAATTCTCATTTTAAAGGTAAGCCAATATCTTGGCTCCTTCTTCATTGTTGTCTTAGTAGGTGGTAGTCCTATGAGCACTTACTATATATTGGGCATGCAGGTGGAGAGAGAGAACCATAAAATTATAGAATTGTGTGCAGTGGGGAAGCAGTATTAACAAAGAATTATTAAAAATAATTTTTATTGGGTTTATAGATTTAGTCTTGTAGCTTCACTATGTATTTATCTGCATAATTCTTTAGCTGAAGCCATCTATTCATTAAGGACTCTCTTGTTAGACTGCTGCCTAGTTTTCCAGTTTCTGCCTGTTGCTTACTCTCCTTGTGTCCAAGATGAATAGTATGGTCTCTTAGGTGTCTTGATTTTATTACTTTGATGTATTTAAATAAAAGTTTAGGAGGGAAATAAGGAAGTTTTGTGAAAGGAGCAAAGGCTAGTAAGTTAGACAATCCTGGGTTCAAATCATGGCTCTGCTTTTTAATAATTTGTGACTTCCAGCATGTAACCTGAAGGCTCTGAGCTTTACCTTTTCTATAGAATGCTGATTTTTCCCCCACAAGCAGGGATTGATGATGTGCTTCAAGCATCTGGTACCATGTTTGGCCCACAGTGCTCAGTAAATGGAAGTGGGGTAATTGAGACTATACCTGAAATGTAAATATTACCAAATTATTATTTTCAGAAGCTAATAATTCATCTAGCATTTTAAAAAATATATACATATGTATATCTTTATTGATTTCAGAGAGAGGAAACGGGGGGAGAGAAAGATAGAAACATCAATGATGAGAGTCATTGATCGGCTGCCTCCTGCACGCCCCACACTGGGGATTGAGCCTGCAACCCAGGCATGTGCCTGACCAGGAATCGAACCTCGATCTCCTGGACCATAGGTCAATGCTCAATTGCTAAGCCACACCAGCCAGGCTCAACCAGCGTTTTTTATGACCATTAATAAGACTGTTATATAAGTTTAAATCTTTTCATATTTTAATTTAGTAGGCCTTTGATAGTATATTTTTCTCAAGGGTCAGGTGATACAGAGGTGAAATTGGCTTTTTTCAGTCTCAGGCTTTCAGTATCTGATAGTGGCTTTATATTAAAGTAGCAACCTCTGAACTTTCTCATTCAGGACATGGAAAAGGAAATCAGTAATGCCCTAGGCCATGGCCCACAGGATGAGGTCCTAAGTAGTGCTTTCAAATTGCGAATCACTCGAGGAGATATCCAGACCTTGAGGAACTTTCACTGGCTCAATGATGAAGTAAGTTGTGGTCCCCTGTTCCCCCTTCCTCTTAATATCGTTATGCTTGACTATTTACTATCCATAACCAAAGTGATATTTACTCAATTATAAGGGGTTGGTAAAGCAGCTTTTAGTTTTATCTAAAACAGATAGATCTTGAGTCTTAGAAAGATGGTTAATTCTGATTGCTTTAATTAGCATTGTTTCCTCTTCTGCATCTGTGCTTCATTTCATCTACCACTTCATTCACTAGACTCCAGTGACATTTTCATAAACCCTGGGTGCAGCTGATGAATGGAAGAAAGCAGCAAATATTTTATTTTAGATGAAGTCGTATAGGAGCTGTTTTAAAATAAAGGGGTATATTGATCACTCTATACTCTGTATCTTTTTCTTTATTTCATTTGAGTGATAACTGTAAAACTGTCTAATTGTCATCTTATATCCTTACATATTTAGCTAAAGCTAGTTTTTCTTTCTAATTTTCCAGTTTGGTGGTCCTTTACCCAACTGCTCAGTTCCTGCATTTTCTTTCTTTGCCTGCCCTCCTGCTCTCCCCATAACTAGTGACATATAAACACATTCTTGTAAAACTAGTATGTTTTGTTTCACATAAGTGTAATATGTTTATTACATAAAATTTAGAAAATACAGAAAATGAAAGAAGAATATTGTTTAAAAGCGCCACCACAAAAAAATTAATAAAATATTAATGTTTTTGGTATATTTCCTTCCAGCTAATATTCTTATTTTATTTTATTATTATTTTTTTAAACATATCTTTATTGATTTCAGAGAGAGGAAAGGAGGGGAAGAGAGAGAGAGATAGAAACATCAGTGATGAGAGAGTCATTGATCGGCTGCCTAGCCCGCAACCCGGGCATGTGCCCTGACCGGGAATCAAACCCCGATCTCCTGAATCCTAGGTTGATGCTCAACCGCTGAGCCACGCCTGGCCGGGCCCAGCTAATATTTTTAAATTGAGGTATAATTTATATATAGTAAAATTTACTTCCAGTTAATATTTCTGCATATTCTTTGTGTGATACGGTTACATACCTTTTCATGATTGCAGACTTCCTCCTTGATTTCCTTCCCTTGACTCTTACTGATATGCCTCAAAAGTACAATTTCATTCCTTCTTAATGCCTCCCATTTTGTACTGATTATTTTTATTTTTCATATTCTGCCACAGAGAGTTCTTTTATCCCCTTCTCTGGTATCTTCCCTTCACCAGGCTTCTTACGATCTAATGAATCCTAATTTAGTTAGGTTAGAAACTTAGTTTTGATAATGTACTTGCCATGTTCCAATGTTTACTCTCTTGATGTTACAGGTCATTAATTTTTACATGAATCTTCTGGTGGAAAGAAATAAAAAGCAAGGCTATCCAGTACTCCATGCATTCAGTACTTTCTTCTATCCCAAATTAAAGTCTGGGGGTTACCAAGCAGTGAAAAGATGGACCAAAGGGGTCAATCTCTTTGAACAGGAACTAATTCTGGTACCTATTCATCGGAAGGTACATTGGAGCTTGGTGGTGAGTCCAGAGGGTTAATTGTTGGAGTTTGGATAATGACCATTTTCTTAAGTAACGAAGGCTACCCTTTTCTGTCCAGTGTCCCTTCTTAGTTCTTGAGTTGAACAACTTGGAAAGATAGAAGAGAGTTGCTATAGCTGAGTAGCTTTCATTTTTAACAAGAAAGTTTTAGTACACATGGGTCATTTATTAGTTTTGTTTACAAGATGGTACAGGTTACTTGTAGAAAAGTAGAGGTATAAAGAAAAAAGCAAAAAAGAAATCTCATTACTCTGAGAGGACCATTAATGTTTTGGGGATTGGGATTGAGTTTCTAAGTGTTTTTGAAGGAATAGAAGTATATATAATTTTATAGAAATGAAGCTCATATCTGTTATGTTTATAAAGCGTGTCTTAGTTGGTACATGTATTGATTTTTTTTTTTAAGAGATGCCTTTTTTTTTTTTTTTTTTTTAAAAAA